GATTCCGTTAACTCTAGAGGCTTTGACTTACTGACTGCAAGCTTAGATAAGGAACTGTCACCATCAGTACCCTGCCCAAACCCTGAAAAAGCTCTGTTAATGATTTGAAGACGTGCCTGCTTCCTGAATCCTTTGCTTTCCTAGCAGCTTCCTTACTCTTCAGAATTCTGGTCTCTGTTAACCCAGACCAGCCTGGTCATTGTGACCAATTTAGGGCAAACTCTACACAACCTTCTAATTTGCTAAAGGTTTCCCCCAACTGAAATCTCTATTTTATTGTTGGGTCATGGATTGCTGTTTTGCTGTGAGGTCCCCAAGGTAAGACAGGAGGTGGGTTCTCAACCAAGGAAGACTGTTTCACTCCTCATTCCTTTTCCTATTGTTTATTGTATTCTCTTTGGCCAGTATCCTTTCTCTCAGCCTGTTTATTGCACTCCAACGCGGACAAACTGCTGAAGTGCATACAGAAATGGTACTGTAATAGAGATAAAAATTTTGAGTACAGGCTGTCTACAGTTGAGATAATTGTAAGTAAAATTTTAAGTTTATTGATTTGCATAAGTTTAAGGCACCCAACCATTGCTTTTGGTGTTTCTGATGATCATTTTATATTTTTTAGTCTTCAACTGTTTGAAGATCTGATTGGTCAACTTGGACTGTTTGGAACCAGTTTTCACCTTGATCTGATCACAAGCAGTTTGATAAAATTAGAGCAAATATGACCTGGTTGGAGAAAGATTTAAGTGGTCAGCACGTGCTTGATTCAATAAAATATACCCTGAACCAATCAAACCTGGTGTGAGCCAGTCAGAACCTGCTTGTCCAGGTCAGAACTTACTTGAACTAGCTAAAATCAGTCTGAAGCAATGTGAGCTCTTAAAACCAAATGATTTTGGTTAGATACATGTGGTTTTAGCCAAAGTGGCTTTAGATCAATCAGAAATGGTTTTGTAGGTGGAACATCTTTTGACTTAACTCTTTCACTCTGAACCAGTATGAACCACTGAGATTCTTTTGAACAAGTATGAACATGTTAGAATGATTAGAGTATTTTATACAATTTAAACCTGTTCTTAAGTTGGTCGTAACTCTTTTGAAATGGATGTATCCATTTAAAATTAATTGAAAATGACTTGAATCAGCCAAAAAAAGATAAGAATTAGTTTGAAAGTGATCTTTGTTGACTCAGTAAACTACTCTGAGCCAGTAAGCAGTCTTTTGTGCCAGAAACACATGTTTTGAGCTGCCCAGAGGCCATTTCAGAAATTGTTCTAGGTCTTCAGAGCCAGTCTGATATGTCCAGAATAGGAAGAAGAGAGGGAGCTAACATTTACAGAATACTCCGTATATGCCAAGCCTTGTGCTGGGCCCTCAACAAAGAGTGTCTCATTCAATTCTTAGCACATGGTGTGAAGTTGTGTATATTATATTCTTTTTCAGTGTCTCATTCAATTCTTAGCACATGGTGTGAAGTTGTGTATATTATATTCTTTTTCATGAAAATCCAAGGCTCAAAGACATCTGAGTAGCTGCTATGAGGGTGACATGGAATTCAGTCTGACTCTGCTTGACCTCAGAGGTCATATGTTTTCTGTTAGGCTACCTTGTATGATGTCATACCTGGTCACCTTTAAGTCCAACACGCATTTGTAAAAACTTGAGTAATGGGCATGAAGCTTGGGGCAGAACAGACATTGGACTTGAAGTTAGGAGACCTATGTTCTTGACCGTGCAAATGAGTTAAACTCTGTGGGCTCTATTTCGTTCTTTAGAAAACTGAAACCAGAGATGAAAGGAGGGTCTGAGCATTTATTTTCAGATCAACAAGGCAGATAACTGTCTAAAGGTACAGTCTAAAGAGTGCAAACTATGATTAATATTGACAGTGGTATCTATAACTTCAGTTGTGGCATTTGGTTTTTTAACCAAATGTTTCCTTTATGACGGCTTGGTTTGGGAACAAACTGTTCCATATTGCTGTTACCATGAACAGAAAACAAAACCCACGAAGATCATTTGTAGATACATGTGTGATTCTTTGGGTGCAGCAGAAAAGGTTCGTCTCTATTTGAATTTCATCCAAGTAAGTTTAGAGAATTCTAGAAGAGTGATGCCATTGGTGACATTTCCCCTGTGCCTGAAATGATGAAAAACTTAGCTATAGGAAGAACTGTTTTTCAAAATAAAAGAGGAAATCAGGTAGCCAACAGTGTCTTCTTGCATCATTCTCCTTGCAGAATTTGGAGTTGCTTTCTGCTTGCTCATTTATTTGGAGGGGAACCCTCTCCCCCAACACACCAGATGATGAAGTGTTATCTGGATCTTCTTTTCAATTCTTAAGTATTAGCTCTTAATTATGAATAACTTGGAGCCAAGTGAAATGCTGTGATATGATATACTAGAATATTTATTTGTACCTAGGTGGTCATCCTCTGGAGAGGAATTCTGTTACATACCATTAATACTGGTAACCTACACCTGCAGATACAGAAGCTAACATAGGAAAGCCATCGTGAGTAAAGTGTTGCTCTTTATAGTGTGCAAACAGAATTCTGAATGTTTGTAGAGGCTCTGCCCTTATCGACTGACCAGCCATATCAGAGTGTGAGGTCACAGACTTGCACTAAGGCTCTCCGAGGAAGGACACTGCAGTGGCTCTTGGGGATCAGAATTCAGGATTTTTGAGTGTAAAGTGAGTCACCACATTGAGGATGGGGTGGGGGAGGCAACCTTGAAAATCAATAAACCTCCTTGCTTGAACTTTTATTAATTTTATGGATCTATAGAAATAATCCTATGGGAAGCACTAAGAAATGTGGTAAAGTCTCTGGATAGGAGCTGGCTGGGTGAGAAGAGGACAATGAGAAGAAAATCAGCAGCATCTAGTGAGGGGGGATGTTGTGTCTGTGGATGGATGAGAATGTATGTTTGAATGGGTACATAGAGTTGGCAATGGTAATGGAATAGCTGATTATTCTTCTGATTTTGGGAGGGTTTATTGGTATTAGAAATGGGAGGATAAAAAGAAATAAGCCTTCCCTGGAGACAGACTACATTCCCAATCTGAATGATACTTTGCATAGTTTGAATCTGTTTAGAGGACAAAAAAAAACCATGAAAAGTGCTGATTGCCATGGATTAAAAAGTAACCATGATTAGGTCTTGTTGTAAAAAGAATATTTCTTCTGTATGGTGAACTTCTGCTTTGGTCAATATTGAAGAGCTGAATTGGTAGCATTTCCCGTGGAATACCAAGGCAAATATAGATACATGAGCCCTTCATTGTGGAACTCACTTCCCAAGTGAAAAGTGATACTCCAGAAAAATCTGATTTAACATGTAGTGTGTAGCAATAATAATATATAAGGAAGCTGAAAACCCAGTTTTACTTGTGAATTTAGCACTATCTTTGAAGGGATCATAATGACATATGAAAATGTGTGGGATAAATGAAATTGCCTAGAAGTCCAAGTTAAAAGAGGAAAGCCAAGGATGTAGAAGTAGGAGACTTTGAAAAAGAAGGGGAAAGTGGAACCACTTGCATTTTAAGAATTATTATTATTCCTGGGACTTTTCCTTCCTCTTTTCTCTCTTTTTTGTTAATTTTTAAAACTTTTTTTTTATTGAGTTATAGTCGTTTTACAATGTTGAGTCAAATTCCAGTGTAGAGCACAATTTTTCAGTTATACATGAACATACATATATTCATTGTCACTCTTTTTTTTGCTGTGAGAACCACAAGATCTTGTATATATTTCCCTGTGCTATACAGTATAATCTTGTTTATCTATTCTGCTATTAATTTTTATTCTACATGATCTGCATAGAAGAATTAGTGACCCAAAACTACAATGAGGTATCACCTCACACCAGTCAGAATGGCCATCATTCAAAAATCCATGAATGATAAATGCTGGAGAGGGTGTGGAGAAAAGGGAACCCTCCTACACTGCTGGTGGGAATGTAGTTTGGTGCAGCCACTATGGAAAACAGCATGGAGATTCCTCAAAAAACTAAAAATAGACTTACCATATAATCCAGCAATCTCACTCCTGGACACATATCCAGAGGGAACTCTAATTCAAAAAGATACATGTACCCCAATGTTCATAGCAGCACTATATATAATAGCCAAGGCATGGAAACAACCTAAATGTCCATTGACAGATGATTGGATAAAAGTTGTGGTATATTTATACAATGGAATACTACTCAGCCATAAAAATAGTAAAATAATGCCATTTGCAGCAACATGGATGGACCTAGAGATCATCATTCTAAAAGAAGTAAGCCAGAAAGAGAAAGAAAAATACCATGTGCTATCACTCACGTGGAATCTAAAAAATAAAAGAAGGGAAAAAAAGGACACTATGAACTCATCTACAAAACTGAATCAGACTCGTAGACATAGTAAACAATCTTATGGTTACCAGGAAAGGGATGGAAAGGGATAAATTTGGGAGTTTGAGATTTACAAATGCTAGCCACTATATATAAAAATAGATTTTAAAAAAGAGAAAGTTTCTTCTGCATAGCACAGGGTATTATGTTCAATATCTTATACTAATAGCCTATAATGAAAAAGAATATGAAAAAATATATATGTATATATATGTGCATGATTGGGACATTGTGCTGTACACCAGAAATTGACACATTGTAACTGACTGTACTTCAATTAAAAAAAAGAATTAGTGACCATTCATCTTGATTTTCATTCTCACTTGGAATTTATGTCTTCACAATACTATAATGTACACGTTAAATTTAAACTAAACTGTTAGTTATTTACCATTTCAGTAGCATCTGATCTAGCAAATGATTAAGTCCTTGGGGCAGTGAATGACGTCTAATCCTGTCTTCACAGAACCCTTAGGCATGTAGGTGTTATGCAGAAGTACTTGTTGAACTGGATATTAAAGGAGGTCACTTTATTCATGGAGGATTCTAATATTTTCTAATGGGTTATTGGTAAATTTGCATTTGTTCATATTTTTCAGGTGAACCACTGAGCTCTTCATTATGTCTGATGGAGACTATGATTACCTCATCAAGTTTTTAGCTTTGGGAGACTCTGGAGTAGGGAAGACCAGTGTACTTTACCAGTACACAGATGGTAAATTTAACTCCAAATTTATCACGACAGTCGGCATTGACTTCAGGGAAAAGAGAGTGGTAAGTTCTGTATCCTTCTACATAAAAGTGTAATCTCTGAGTCAACTGCTGCCTGTCTGCTTTGTTTGCTTTGTAGGAATTAGGAGGACAAAGGTTGGAATCAAAAATTAAAGGGCCCGTATGAAAGTGTATTATGTTCAGTCTGGGTGGTGTGATTAGAGGCTATGCGGAAGGACATTTCATAGAAAACCCAGCAGATAAAAGAAAAGTTAAGGTTCTTTTAAAATTTAAAATACCCTTTTGGTTTGTGTCTTCCTGCTGGATTCCTCAGAGTTATTTGTCTGCCTTTGTTATGAAGCTTATAGTCCACCCTGCCTTTCACATCCCAGTTTTGTGGGCTGTTTTTTTCCATCTTCGGTATCATTTTTAATGGCTTTTCTCATGATGAAGGCCTCGGCACTCCCACATGGAATGGTAAGTGGCAGAACTCATGGCTGCCGCCCGCCCGGAGTGTGAGGCTGGAGTAGGAGTGGGGGTGCCTGAGTGCATGTTGATCTGGGAGGTAGCCAAGGGAACAGGGAACAGGAAGGTTCTGCGGAATCAGGGAGGAGCCTCTTTTCAGAGCACTGCAAGGTAAGTTATTCTGGTGGTAGAGGGGAAGGCAGGAGGTCACAGTGTCCGGGAACTACCTTTCTTGCTGAAAGATCAACTGTTACCATGAAGCAAGCTGACAAGGAGTCAGGAAATTAATGACAGAGACCCTTTGGTGGAGCATATTCTACCTGGGAAAGATACCGGGTCCCTGGGACAGAAGAATTGATTCCGTCTGATCCACCCTAGGCCTCTTCTTCCACTACCAGAGCGTCTTTTTTTTTTTCTTTTTCACTTTTATTTTTACTAGTTTTTAATGAGGTATAGTTGATGTACAATACTATGTAAGTTTCAGGTGTACAATATAGTGATTCACAATTTTTAAAGGTTATATTCCATTTATAGTTATTATAAAATATGGGCTTTATCTCTGTGTTTCATTTGAAGTCTTTAATCCATTTACAGTCAATATAATTACTAATAAAGTAGGATTTATATATGTCATTTGGCTCCTTGTTTTCTGTGTGACTTACCTCTTTTTTGTTCCTCTCTTTGTGGCTGCATTATTTTGTGTTATATAGGTATTTTTAGTATACCATTTAAATCCCTCTGTCATTCTTTACTATATATTTTTGAGTTATTTTCTTAATTGTTCCCCTGGGGATTACAATTGTCATCTTAATTTTTAACACTCTAGTTTGTTAAAAATTAAGAAATTTGTTTAATTATAACCAACTAAATTTCAATGCTCTGCTCCACTCTTACGTGGCTTCATTTCGTACCCCCTCCTTTGCACTGTTATTGTCATACAAATTGCATCTTTATATGCTGTGTGCCCATCAACACAGGTGTATAATAATTACTTTATGCAATTGTATTTTAATCAGATTGAATAAAAGAGTTACAAAAACCCATTTATATTGTATTTTATATTGACCCATGTAGTTACTTTCACTGGTGCTCTTTATTTTTTTGTGTGGATTTGAATTACTGCCTAGTGTCCTTTCGTCTCAGCCTGAAGCACTGTCTTTATTGTAGGGCAGTTTTGCTAACAATAAATTTTCTGTTTACATTTATCTGAGGACGTCTTAACTTATCTTTTAATTTTAAAGGATAGCTTTGCTAAATGTAAGATTCTTCGTTGGTAGTCTTTTTTCTTTCAGCACTCTGATTTTGTCATCCTGCTGCCTTTGACCTCCATTTTTTTGTTGAGAAACCAGCTCTCAGTCTTGTTGTGATCCCTTCTATGTGATGAATCACTTTTCGCTTTCTGCTTTTAAGATTATCTTTCTGTCTTTTGATTTTGACAATTTGATGGTGCTATGTCTACTCAATATTATAACAGGCAGAAAAATATTTTTTCATTCTTTTTTTTTATGCCTTAAGGCTAGATGATCTCAATTGACCTAGCTTCAAATTCAGTAATTATTTATTCTGCCAGTTCAAGTTCTGCTCTTTAGTCCCTCTAGTGAATTACACTTCAGTTATTGTAATTTTCAACTCCAGAACTTCCATTTGCTACTTTTTATAATATCTGTCTCTTTATTGACATTCTGTATTCAGTGAGGCATTATTCTCATACTTTCCATTAGTTCTTTGATGTGATCTCCTTTAGTTCTTTAAACATGTTTATAACAACCAATTTAAAGTCTTTGCCTAGTAAGTTCAACATCTGGGCTTCCTTAGGAATAATTTCTTTTGGTTGCTTTTTTCTTCCCCTGTGTATGGGCCATAGTTTCCTGTTTCTTTGTGTGCTTTATAAATTTTGTTGAAGATTGGACATTTAAAATTATATAAGGTGATAACTCTGGAAATCAGGTTTCTCCCCTCTCCCAACGGTTTCTTGTTTTTGCTGTTTATCTTTGTTGTTGCTGTTTATTTGTTTAGTGACACTCTTGGGCTAACTCTGTAAAGTCTTTCCTGTACAGCCCTGCACTTGAACCTGACCTAGTAGATTCCAAGGAATATTTTGAAACTTTTCAAATCTCCCTGTGGACATCTCATTTCCTATTTTTTCTTTTTAAAGTTTTTTTTTTGATTAAACTTTGATCAGTTTTAACTGATATTGCTGCTTTTAGTAGCTGTGATGTTAAATAATTGCCACTGATGGTTTTCAATGAATGGCCAAAGAACAGGGTTATTCTCATAGAGCAACCTCCGAGTCAGATCAGATAAAGACAAGATTTGGGAATGGTGCAGGCAGATTTCAGACAGATCAGATCTCTGGGGATGAGATGTTTGGAGAGCTCCGAACCTCTTCTACCTCTACTGCCTACAGTGGTTGCTACACTAATGGTTTTCACTGCTACCATAGTTGTGCCTCTGTTGGTTTTCAAGGCTTCTGTGGAGCTGGAGGTGGAGGGGATGGGAACAGGACAAGTTAAAACGGCACAAAGCTTACTCTTTTTACTGATAGCTGTTTTTCTTGAATGCTCCTTGGAATGTTACAGCCTTCGTTAATTTTAAGAGTTTGGAAAAAGTTGATTTTGACAATTTTTGCCAGTGTTTTTATTGCTTTGTTGGAAGGAGAGACTTTCAGAGGTCCTTCCTGTAAAACTGTTTTAGGAGTACTTTTTAAAGATGGGATGGAGAGAAGTCATAGAAAGGTAGCATTTCCTGAAGCTAGTGACCTGAGGGAACTTTGAGGAAAGGTGAGTTAATTATTTTTTAATACAAATCAAATATATCAATGTATTTAATACAAATTTTAATATTGTAATATATTTATAATTATTGTATATATTTATAAAATATATATAATGTGCATATATCTTTTTTTTTCTGTAGGGCTTTCTGGTGCAGATCAGAAAACCTGCTAGACAAATCCTAACAGAGCTTTTTTTTGTTGTTGTGCATACATCTTTTAATGAAATTATCATGTTACCCAAAGACAATTATTTGAAATAAAATACAGACAAGGTCGTATTCCAGTTGGGATTTTCTTCAGAAGTTTAGGTGCTTAGTGGAGCTGTACTGAACAGGAAAGTGAGACGAGCTCACTGGTCTCACATGTTCTCTTTCTCTCTTTCATTTTGCCATTTTAGGTGTACAGAGCCAATGGGCCAGATGGAGCCGTGGGCCGAGGCCAGAGAATCCACCTGCAGCTGTGGGACACAGCAGGGCAGGAGAGGTATGAGATCTTCCATCTGTGCTCGTTGCTGGAGGAAAGGGGAAAAACAGCCAAGCTCTTCACACAGTGATCTGAGCAGGAAAAGGCCAGCTGATGAGTTGACTTGCACCTTAATAAGACATCCTGCCAAATTAGCAGGAAGTTTATCAGTCTGAGACGACAACGGTTTCTTTCTTTCATACAAGGTCAAAGGGAAAATGAATCCTTTTCAAAATGGACCCTTTCACCTATGGACTTTTTTCCTTTTCTTCCTTTTTCTTTTCCAGACCTGTATATTTTTTTCCATTTACTTTTGCTGTTAGCTAGAGAGAAAGCCGTAGAGTTGCATGTGTTATTTTTACCTAATGTTTGAAACATAGTAGAAAATCTGGTTGGAATTTATATGGTCAGAGGTTGCTTGATAAAAGTGTCATATTATACCCCCCCCCAAAATGTCACATGGAATCTTCATCTAAAGTTACCTTTAGTTTAGCTACAGCATTGTTATCTTTGTTTCCTTGAAGGATTTGATTTGTTTTTTTTCAACTTTCTATTATGGAAAACTCCAAGATAGACGGAAGTAGAGAGGACTGTACAGAGAACTCATGTCCCCATTTCCCAGTGTCAGCAGTCACCTCACCTCTTCTCACAATCCCCCTGGCTCCCACCCCCCAATTATTTTGAAGCAAATTCCAAATATCAGATTATTTCACTCATAACTATTTTGGTATGTATCTCTGAAAGATAAGTACTCTTTTTGTAAAAACACAGATTAGAAATATTTGAGAAAACTTACAATAGCAGGTTAGATGACAAATTCTTACCAGTATTTTCTTCCTTGGAGCCTATGCCTGTCAGTTGCAGACTTCGCATAAAGGCGAAAGAAGAGAAAAGCGACTCCTAGAAGGAGAGAGGGGAGACAGCAGGGTAAAACCTTGGTAGAGAGAGAGTCCCAAGAAAGGGTAGAGACTGAGTCAAGACACCCCCCACCTTAAAGCCAAAGCAGTGGTTATCAGAGAGGAGAAGTCATAAATCATAGGTAAATGATAGAGACTGAAATTAAAAGGTCACGGAACACATAGTGATGTCACGTCGAGCCAAGCTTTCACAGGACAAGGAACACACACACAGCAAGCACCACCACTTTTGGTCTAAATAACTCTGAATTGTACAATAAACTCTTGCCTGAGGTAAAGGGGTCATAAGCTAGTTCTTGTCATCCCTGGCAGGCTAAGTTTTCAAATCACGTGGTCTATTAACACATAAACTTATGTAAGTGATAAATAACTGTCTTTTACACATTTGGAATATTATCATGTAATTTGTTAGAAATTTTTAAAAAAAATTCCACAGATCATTTTTATCTTAAAAGAATGATTTCAAAGTATATCTTTTGATGGTTGTTGGCATTTTATGACGTCTAGATGTGTTTTCAAATATTCTTTCTTGCTCTAGATGCCTATTTACTATATTTTGTAAGAGTCCCAATATAATTGATTATGTACATAATTTTACACTATTGAAAGCATCTATTGATATAACATTGTGATTCAGTAAATGTGGTGTAACTGAATTACACCTGCATAACGTGCTATAATGTGACTTTACGACAAACAGTGGCATGTTGTTAAACATCTGGTTTGTTACTAATGAACTATTTTAAGAGGCTGAGGGCACTGCTGGCAGCTTTTATATTTCAAGAGTGGGGCCGTGGTTCAGGTGACCAATCTGTTCTCATGTTCCTAGGTTTCGTAGCTTGACAACTGCATTCTTCAGAGATGCTATGGGGTTTCTTCTGCTTTTTGACCTGACAAATGAGCAAAGTTTCCTCAACGTCAGAAACTGGATAAGTAAGTTTTATTTTTCCCTGCTTCTTCCACTCCCGGCAATAAACTCCCTCTGATATTCTATTTCTGCTGTAAGCTGTTTTGGAGGGCTTCCTAATACTGTTTGAAAGGAACAAGGCCTTTGGTTTTGGAGCAAAGATAACTGAAATACTCTACTTTCCCCAGTAATGCTAACTTTCATTTTTGTACATCATGCACTCGAGATGCAAGGAGTGCTTCCTGTGTAATCTCTTAATCAGTCTTTTCCACAGATGGGCCTCTTGTCCCCATTTTACAGATGGGGAAATAGAAGCCTGGACAAATGCTAGCAAGTCCTGTACCATCCCAGGGTTTAAAGCAGATATTACATTGATCCTTTCGAAAGCTTAATGGATCTTACCCTTGGCTCCATGTCTCTTCTGTGTTTTGAGGCCCACTATCTATTTTTAGGGCCAGAGCATTTGCCTGGAGGATCTTGTCACAGAAACCCCTAGAACTGCATTGCCCAAAGTGGCCCCAGCATGTTATATATGAACCTCCATTTTGGCTCTTTGGAGACATCCTGATCTCTAAATGATTGGTTAGGAGCCATTTAAAATCCTGCTTCTTGACCAAACGAAACATTTCCCTCTCTTGGTTGTATTAGTGTAACCTTGGAGAATCTACAGGGGAGGGCTGTGATGTTCAGTTCTTAACATCCAAATCTTTAAAATGAAAACACTATTTCAAAACACCTACTACTTAAAAATATCTCGGCGTTTTGGTATTATGAAAGGGTAATGAGCTGTGGGTTTGAAAGTAGAAAACCTTATTTTTAAAAAGGTGAGCTTTTTAGTAATGTATGTAGTGCATTGTGGTTTCCAAGGCATTTTCACATACTTGGTGTCTGATCCCCACGACCGCCCGGTGAGGAGATGCAGGTGGGTGATGTGCCCTTATTTTAGGAGGAAGACGCCGGCCCTTATAGAGTAATAGACTTGTCCAAGGACATGGAGATTTTGGCTCTCAGTTCACTGGCCCTTTATGCTCTTTCTCAGCTAAGTGGATCACTCAGAGTTGATGAGCTATTTAGTACTTTCAATATAGGTTCCCCGATTTAGTTAACGCTTACTGGGCTTCGCTTTAAGTGCCTGGCTGAGTCGCACCCCTCACTCTTTCCCTCACAGTGGCTATTTCTAGTCTCTTCTTCTCCTTCCTTGCTTATCATCCTTTCCTTTGTATCATCGGAACAAATTCTGGGGCTTTGTTAAGTCCAGCACTTCATAGAGATTGTTGCTGGAGATGTGCTCATAGAATAGTAGCATTGAAAGATCATCAACCCGCCTATTTTTCAGTGGCAGGAACCGAAACTCTGAGTCATTAGATAAATCTTGTCCATCAGGGCTTTAGAGTTAGTTAGCTGAAGAACAAAATCATGTGAAATTATATGTATGTATGTATTTTATTGTGTTTTCCTTATATTGTGAAAGAATCCTTATTGTCCAGTTAGGTAAAGAAAACTTAAACATATGGAATATTTCATGTCTTCAGTGGAAAGTATTCTCCTCCCCCAACACTGTTTTGTTTTGTTTTGTCTTGTTTTTTTGAAAGGTATGATGTTCAGGGGAGGGTATAGCTCAGTGGTAGAGCGTGTGCTTAGCATGCATGAGGTCCTGGGTTCAATCCCCAATATCTTCATTAAATAGATAAATAAACAAACAAACCTAAAAAACAGGTATGATGTTCAATGTCAGAGGTGGTAATATCAAATCTTAATTAGGACTAAAAATTTGTTAATTATCTATACACTTTATTTTTCCTCTGCCTGTTAGTGTTTTGAGTATTACAGGGATCATTCTTTTCGTCTGTTTTTGGGTCAAATAATGTACATCCCAGTGGCACATAGCAGAACAGAGGCAGTGTTGCATTAAGCAGGTAGCTGACTCCTGGGCGCTGAAGGTCTGGGAGCGGAGAGCAGGTCTGCACCCTCTCTGTGCTACTCAAGAGCTGCATCATAGTCCTTTCTGCCTTGACTCCAGATCTCTCCATCCCTTCTTGGGAAGGGGTTCAGAGTCCAAAGGTGATCCCTGCTTAATTTAGGAGACTGAACAGAGAGCTGTGTCCTCTGGGCCTAAATATGAAACCTGAAAGGAAGCAAGTGGTGTCGTATCACTCACCTGTCTTCCTGGAACTTGATAAGCAAGTCACACCTGCGGTCCTTCCTCAGTGGCTGCACATTTTGTATGGAAACTCTAAAGGAGCCTGAATTTCCAAACTTTCCTTCTGTAGCCTCACATACATGTAGATGAGCCCAGCAGCTATCTTTTTACATATTTTTGCCCTTCTATTTTTATTCCTATCTTATTCCCTCTGTCTAAAAAGCCCTCCCCACACCCACTCCCATTTTCTTAAAAAATTAGAGTTCTGCTTCCTCTTTAATATCTAGCAAAACATGACCCCCATGGAATTTTCTGTGATCTTTGTTGGATTAAATTTTTTTCATCCTCTTAACTCCTATCACATTTTGTGCTATTTCTCAGGTCCTTATCACATAACCATCTCGAGTTGTAGTTATTTATGTATGTGCTTTTTTCCTTGGATTTTGAAAAGAATTTATTAATTTACTTCTTATATAAGTAATTCACAGTCTTTATAGAAAAATTAGGAAAGAGTGGAAAAATCAATTATCGCACTTCTCAGACGACTCAAAATAAGCACTATTAAATATTATTACTGGTTATAATAAGTGATATTACCAGTGATGATTACCATTCTAAATGCTTTGTTGCATTAACTTAATGGTTCTCAAGTGTGAGCATGCATCTCGATCACCCGGGGGCTTGTTAAAATACAGATTCCGGGCCCCAAACCCAGCATTCCTGATTCAGTAGATCTGGGGTGGTACCTGAGAACCTGCATTTCTAACAAGTTCCCAGGTGTTGATTAGGAGGCTGGCCCATGGATCTGATCTGAAGAATCAGTGAATTAACTCATGTAATTCTGACCTCATCTCTGGGAAGTACCACGATTATCAACATTTACAGATGCGGAAACTGAGGCACAGAGTGGCCAAGTAACTTCCTCAAGGCCACACAGGTAGTAAGTGGCAAAGCCCGGATTCAGTCTTAGACATGCTGGGTCCTGAGCTGGTGCTCATAACCATGACACTGGACATACATAATGTTGACAGAGCACAGAGCCTCTCTGGAGACCAGAAAGGTTTCACAGTAGAGGTAACTGAGAGGGAGGTCTTAAAGGAAGCTTGGGGAGTCCCTGAGGAAGGTTGTGTTTGGGTTTTCAGGGGTGCGGGGGCAGCTTGTGCAGCAGCCTGGAGGAAAGAAAGGATGTGGCTGTTGTTGGAAATGATAGGTAGTTTGGTCTTCTCTATATAGGCCTCCCCACCCCCACTCCCTGACTGTTCTCTTGAGGGCAAAGGTCAGTGCCCTGAAATTCTACAGCAAGTTTTCAGGCCTATGTTATTGCTCAGTGAATGCTTGCCGACTTGACTTGCTCGTGATAAGATGACTTTGTAATGAGGGACTAAAATGTCAACACTTTTCTAGTTAACCATGATAAATAAATTGGGTGGGGTATACCTCAGGGGCAGAGTGCATGCTTAGCATGCTCAAGGTCCTGGGCTCAATCTCCGGCACCTCCATTAGACAGACAGACAAACAAACAAACAAATAAACTTAATTACATTCCCCTCCCCCAACAAACAAACAAAAATGAGGCCATAAATTTTGGATTGTGTCTTATTGTGAAAGTTTGGGTTGCTTTACTTTCATTCTGGGGAGTGATGAGTAAGAAATAAGACTTTATTTTCCTTCTTTGGGAGATGAAACTCTTTAGCTTCACTGAAGTTCTTTTGATTTAATTATTTTTTAAAAAATTGTGCCTATTTACAGGTTTTCAGATGAAAAAACAAAGCTATGGAGTAAGCATGGTAGTCTCCTGCTTCTTGGTTTTGGTGACAGAATTATTGATTGTTTATTCTGGGTTTTCTCTCTTCATTTAATCCTATACTTTGCTTGTGTTAGGTATGTTGATTCTGCCTTAGGGTGATAGGAAAATGTCAAAAACATCTCAGGTAGAAATAGGCTAGTTTACAGAAAGAAAAAGAAAAATACCATAAGATGTCGCTTATATGTGAAATCTAAAAAAAAGAACACAAATGAACTTACTACAAAACAGAAGACAGGCTCACGGATGTAGAGAAGATACTTATGGTTACCAGAGGGTAAAAGGGGTGGGAAGGGACAAACTGGGAATTCGGAATTCGCACCTTTGGGGAGTGATGGAAATGTTAGCTGTCTTGATTGTGGAGATGGTTTACATCTATCAGAATTCGTCAGAGTGTACACCTGAAATATTGTGTAGTTTGCTGTACAGGAATCATACCACAATAAAGGTGTTTTACCAAAAAAAGAAAGAAAAAAGAAATAGGCTAGTTTATAGAAAGACAATTTGTTTAAAAATGTCATTGTAGTAGAGAGCAACTATATGAAAAACAGAGCTGTAAGATTAGCTGTAAGCTCTAGGAAATCCTCCAAGTGTTTTTTTCAAATGGCCTTCATAAAGAAGACAGCTTCATGGTGGGTGTGTGTATGCACTTTTGGAGGGATAGCGAATTCTCCCATTCCCCTCGGATACAAATAAGCTGGGATATGTGTGTAAGGACAAGAGTAGTGTTACATCTCTGCCCCATCCATTTAGTTTTATAGATTAGGTTATTGGTGCTTTGAAAGTATTATATCAGTTCCTTTATCTGTATGTCCATTTACAGTTTCAGTGCACTTTTGCGTGTATTGTCCACTGATCATACAGATCTAATTACTTACCTATAATACATTTTCTTATCTTCTGACATTAATAGGCCAGCTGCAAATGCATGCGTATTGTGAAAACCCAGATATAGTGCTATGTGGAAATAAGAATGATCTGGAAGACCAGAGAGCGGTCAAAGAGGAAGAAGCCAGAGCACTTGCAGAGAAATACGGGTGAGCATTTTTGAGGCGGGTCTGCAGAACATGTTTCCAGTACAAACACCAGCACATGAATAGGTAACAAAAAAGGTGAAATTGAAAAATTAAAACACTCAGCTGCAGGCCTTGGCAGGTGTCACGTACCTACTTTGTGTATTAATATTAGATGATATGGGAACGATAGAGAAAGCATTGGGTGAGGGCCTTCACTCAGTGCTTCAGTGCCGTTTTCTCAGTCTCTTGGTGTTTGAAGAAAGACAGCTTTGAAGGCAAATTCCCAAGATGCAAGTAGGAGATGCCCAGGATAAGGAAATCCTCTAGATTCAGTGAGGAAACTCCAGAGCCGGGTCAGGCATCCAAGGTCTTATTGACTCTGAAATATCTATGCTGGGAGCGGAGTGTGAAGATCCCCTTTGGTTCAAGCTGTGTTTTTGTGGTTGAGAAGCAGCTGAATACTTTTCGTCCTTGAGCTCTGGGGATAGGATCGCAGCAGCAGCGTTAACTGGACAGGAAAGAAGGGCTCAGCCGCCACTAAAGTGTCAAAGGCACCTCTGCAAAGCAACTTGTGCTTTGCTTTCTTTCCACCTCTAATATAGTGAGAACGCAAATGTATGTGAATCGATTACCCCTACTGTAACTGGGAGGCAGCTAGTAGGGTGGAAGGAAGGGGAGCTAGAGGTGCTGTGGTGAGCTGGCTATCGGGGATGCTACGGGCTGGTGCCCTTCGTTGTTAGCAGATCCAGGGAGGTTGGAAGAGACCCTTTCCCTTATCATTACGTGACCACCGCTTTGTTCTTCCTTGGGCTGATGGAGGGCAGGCGGCACTCGAGGATAGCGTTCACACTGGGGAGGGAGTGGAAGGGTAGGCTGGCCAGGTGGGAAGGAGCCAGGGTCTGGGAGCTTTAAATACCAGGTCAGAGTAGACCTGACCTCCTGGGGACAGGAAGTGGCAGGAAGCCTTGGAACGCGGAGGAATGTTAAGAACATTTTCCCAGGTCAGTCTGGCTGCGGTAGGTGGGGTGAAATGGAGAGAGGAAAGCCTGGAGACAGGGAGGTTGCTGTGATCCGTCAGGTGGGGAGGGGCTGTCATTGTGGGAGGGAAGAAAAGGAGTAAATCAGAGAAAATATGTAGGGTGGGGCAGAACAGGATTTTAAATCTTTCTCAATTCCAGCTGGTGGGTGGGGCAGGAGGAAGGGGAAAGGTATGCACTCCTTCAGCTACCCTGGCTTAATGCTGGCACAGATCTGCAGTAGGATGTGGAGGGTTTCATTCTGGGGCAGGTGGAGTTTAACCCTGTTAGAAGCAGGGGAGCTTTGACAAATACTCCCATCTGGGCCTCCCCTGTGAGCCTCTGACGTCACTGATCTGGAGCGGTTTAACAGGCAAGATCGTTGAAGAAACATACCCACATATCGTTGCTGGTGACCAGGTTCTCGTCTTATCACAGAAGAATTCAGAGATGAGACTTGGAGGTTAAGAGAGCAAAGTGAGGATTTATTAAGGGATGAGACAGTGCACTCAGGGGTGAGCGGGCAGGCTCAGGTGAGCAGCTGCCTTGAGTTTCTTTGGCAAGTTGGTTACACAGAGTGTAGAAGAGAATGGGCAGAGTATTCACTGGGGAGGGAAGGGTTTGGGGTCATAGTCCCTCATTTTTATCCCATCTCCACCTTTCTGAGGGGAGGAGGAATTTTTGTCCTTATTTAGTCTGGATCTGAAGTATCATGGTGTTGGTGCATGATGGGTCCTTCTAATCTGCAAGGCTAATTTTATTGTAATGAGGGCATAATGAGCAAAAGGTTATATTCAGACACTGGAGGTTCCTGCCTTTCCCACCTTTCTTTGTCAGCCTGTAGGCCACTTGTCACTCCAAAATGTGGGAACACTAATCAGCGCAGAGGTTCCTGCTTTTGTCTGCTGAGGGGCCCCCGTTGTTTACATGATGTAGGGTTTCCTGCGTTTGGCCCCATGCCCCTCTCCTTTTTTGCCCAATTCCTGCCTTTTGGCCTGTGTCCCCGTTTCTCTGCCCATATCTAGCTGTCTGCCTGCTCTAACAGTATAACTGGATTTGTTACAGAGATTTGATTGTATGCATTTCTGGGAGCTCATTAGGCAGTCTCTGTAAAGTGTTGTTTTGTGTCTGATGCTGAAGCTTGAAGTCCACAGGGCAGGCAGTCAGAGGGGAAGATGGATTTAAAGTGGAGGAGAGCAAGAACCAGCTGGGACCCATAATGATGGACTGATGGTGTCAGTTCTTCTGGCTTCTGACCTGGGTGGTGTGGGTGTCCATCCCCCAGGAGCCAGGGCCCTTTGTCACAGGGCTAAACGCACACACCTGGCCCAGGAGTTAGGGAGGCTGCCGGAGGATCTGGGGGAAGGTGGGAAGACAGCAGGTCTGGTTGCTGGTTTGTGTCAATGAGATGAGCCAGCAGATACGCAGCTGCTGCTTCACTTCCGCCCTCCACATCTCCCCTGCATCTCTCTGTGGTCCACCGTAGCTGGAACGGGAATTCTGGGAAATGCTGTTCAATCTTGCGGACTGACAGATGACACAGCCACCACCGGTGGGGGCTGGGCACTGGTGTCTTTTAAAAGCTCTCCATGTGATTCTTGTGAGCAGGGACTGAGAACCTCTGAGGAAGGTGACTCTGAAGTGGAGGTGATTCTGGTCATCCTGATAAGCCCTGCTTCTCCCTTGAGAGGCACTTGTGTGGCAGGTGGAAGGAGGGAGGGAGGGAGGCAGGGAGCAAATACCAGGGAGGTTTCTGAAGGGTTGAAACTGGGGCTGGCTGTGTTGCAAGGGGGTGAGGAGGAAGTGAGTGATGGAGCAATGGAGGCTGTGGACCCACACCATGCTTTTGGGAAGTGTGTTAGTAACATCAAACAAGTCTACTCTGCAGCATAATATTGCGGGGCAGTCTGGACTGAATTCCTCCCCCTCTGGGCTTCACCAGCCCTTGGCTTGTGTCCTCTGTGCTGGTTCTCAGGATTCCACATCCTCCCTGGTATCAAAGAGCCGACCCTGCCTTCTGTCTGTACGGGGAGTCTGGGAATAACAGGGATTGTCTTTCCTCTGTGCCCAGCTCGTACGATCGATCGGGGGAGTATTTCATAAGAAGGGCTCAGTGTAAAGTTTTGAAATTGAGTGAAAATGAGGAGACGAAATTAGCAGATGAATTAATTGAAACAAGTGGAAAAGAATGGGAAAGGATGGAAACAGACTTCTCTTAGGACTTAGGAAGCAGAAAATATAGTTCTTTAGGCTGTTTGGCAGTTTGAGGGGAAGGTGTGATGGAAAAGTTCGGTTCACATGCATTTCACCAGTTTGACATAGATGTTTAGTAACTATTTTCCCAGAAATCTTTATTCATTTTTAATAATTGTGACTTTTTCATTGGTTACACATTCACTACAGGACTAGATTGGTCAGTTCATCTATGGGCAAATAGCCAGAAAACAGTCCAGTTTGTATCTTCATATCATTTGCATGTCTGATAAACTTGCATTTTTTTGGTTGCTATTGTGCTGCCTTCTCTTGTCAATTCATAAAAATGGATCGTTGGTTCATAAGTGGTTTTCTGAAATATACGTGCATTTGGGAAAGAATGACCATGTCTCAGAAAAACTTGGCAAACCTAATAAAAACATGGTACAGTTTGAAATATGAAACATATGTGTCTGCTGGCGCAAGTAAATCTAAGAATGAGGACTTCATGCAGCAGCCAGAAATAGGGTGAATTGGATGCATGATAGTGAATATCAGAAAACTTATCTTAAGTAGACTGAGAATCCATTCACCTCTCTTTCCTTTTTTTTTCTTTTAAATAAAATTTAGTTAGATTGTAACATGAAGCTCTTAGGTCCCTTCGTAACACAATAAAGTAATGCATCTGGTAAACCAATCAAGTTTCTCTAGAACAAGTGCAACATCAGTGAAATGAGTGAGTACAGGCCATTTCTGGGATTTCACGTAGTTTAGCTCAGTAGACTTCTCAGTGTCTTATAGACCTAAACTAGATGAAATGTGGTATGAGTAGCTTGATCTCTGATAGTTTGATTCTCTGCAAACTTGATGACATCCTTCCTTTATACAAGAAGCAAATTAATGGTGTGTCATTGGGCATGTTTTTAAAACCACACACATGAGGTACAACTAAACATGCAAGACTGATGTCCAAAGCCCCACACAACTCAGTAGAGGCTCTGAATTTCACTGGGCACAATCTCCCAGGTTGGAACAGTTTATACACCAACCCTTTCCTGTAAATGATTGCTCACTTAGCATCCAGAAGTCTATGAAAAGCAGTGAGTCTCCATTTTCACTTTGGTGAAAAATTTCTCCATAATTTCTGTATCCACATGTGAGCCAAATATCTACAATCATTTGACAGAATCACCTGAACTGCTTTTATTCTTGGCAACCTCTACTTGGGATCTAGGATCTTCCAGTTTTCTGGAAATAAGTAAAACAAAAGATACCATCTGAATGTGGATCCTGACCTATGGCATGAACCAGATATAGATACCTCAGTGAAAAACTGCAAATGTTGATAAATGCCTCCTTCATTGATTTGAAGCTGTCCCTTTGCTCGTTTTTTAATTTTAAAGTTTGTGATTTATTTTTTAAAGGCACACCAAAACCGATGTTCTGCAGGTGTTCCAAAAGGCCATAAAGTTGTCGTTTACAGATTGATAACAAAATTAGCTGCCCAGGATTTTTTTCAAAGGTTTGGCCATACGACTCCCTAGTACTGCTGCACTAGCGCCACCACGTGGAGAGAAGGAGCAATATCACTGCCTCCGAGGGTAAAAGAGGGACAATTGATCCTCTTGGATTTAAGCTAAGATTACTAAATTTTTGCCTAGAAAGTTTTACGAAAAGCAAAATATTATTTTTAGAGACTAAAAGAGTATTTGAACATTTATGTATCACTTGCTGGATGCTAGGCTTGTGCTAAGCCCTTTACACGTATCAGAGTAACAGAGATGGGTTTTCAAGTCTCTATAAATGTAGAGAATATGTTACTGAATTCAGCTGCAGGACTCCCTGAGGTGCTAAAACAACTTCCTTTTGTAGTTTTTACCTCTAATGAGCATTTTTGGTCAGATTCCTTACTAAGTGGTGGAGATGAAATCGATAGTTTGAAGAAAATACAATTTTGTCAGCATTTCCATGACTTTATAAAGCAGGAGGAAAAATTTGGCAGGTGATTGATTAATCCCCTCACGAAGACCACCTCTAGTGTATGAAGGGTGGCCACCACAAGAAGACTGATGTCTCAAGATGTTGTGAAAAGTAGCCTTATTGTTTTGAAATGATGCTTTGTGAGTTACTAAAAAATGACACCTGTACCACAGGTACTGAGATAACAAAACAAACATACTTAACGTTGATACACTTGAGGAACTCTGAAATGCTGTGGCATTTGGAGTGTCTTCCAGTGGGTGGTCCAGGCATACAGCCTGGAGCTGACAAGAGGCAAAGCCTTTGACAAGTACAGCCAGGGACCTCTGATATCTCTCTCACGTCAGCGTTTTTGTTTTCATGTGCAGCAAGTGAAAGAGATTTCTCTGTTTTGGAAATCCTCATATGGCGTAAGTTTGGAACCAGTAGAGCCTATGGTTCAGTTGGTGACCCTGGCATCCAATAGCTGTGGATACCAATCCTAACTCCGCTACTTCTAGTATTACGAAATCTGGCAAGTTACTTCACCTCTCCGAGCAGCAGTTTAGTTGTCTGTGAAATGGGAATAAAAATCCCTGTTAGGAATGCCGCGTCAGCTGTTTTATTATCTTTCTCCTTTTCATTGTGCCCTGGGCGGGGAAACGTTTTTGTGGTCCTGTGTGTGTGTATTCTTCCGATTTTCCAAGTTGAATGGTAAGGGCCCAGGTTACTGTGCTTTCCCTGCACACATTGTCACCCGAGCGTTGCTGTCTTCCAGAATCCCCTACTTTGAAACTAGCGCTGCCACGGGGACAAACATAAGCCAAGCGATCGAGACGCTCCTGGACCTGATCATGAAGCGGATGGAAAGGTGTGTGGACAAGTCCTGGATTCCTGAAGGCGTGGTGCGCTCCAACGGTCACACCTCTGCAGACCCGCTGAGTGAAGAAAAGGAGAAGGGGTCGTGTGGCTGTTGAAGAGTCAAGTGAGCTCCACAGTGATGCAGGCGGCCCATATCTGTGACCTTCTATGGGGGATACAGGGCACAGAGAGAGATGAATGAGCATTTTGTGCGGATGGCTTCTCACCATCCCAACCAGACCTATCAGAGAAGCATCCAGTTCAAAAATTCATTCGCTGCAGCTTTGTATATATTTCTTTAAGATTCAGCCTGGGAGTTAGGATTACTATTTCTCATACCCAAAAGTGCCTTATAAAACCTTCACACACAGCAGTAGATCATTCAAGAATTCAGGATTTCATAGCCCTGGAACAGTGCAATGATTCTGTTCATTTTAACTGAAGATCCTGTCACCTGCCTTAACATACACAGGCCCAGAGTCTCACATTCAAGATCTTAGATGCAGTTATAAAACTAGCAGACTTGAATCCAAATTAAAAAACCCTGCTTGTACCCCAGGTGACTTTCAAATATGCCATCTAGACCATTTGAATGTTGAATAAGAATATCCACAAACCATGGTTCAGTGGTCCTTGAGCATTAATTTATGCACGCATTCTCTGTAAAATGAATATAGGACCAATTATTGGCCATATCGACGGACCCTGGGTAAACTGGATTAACCAATTACATACTCGCTGTGACTATTGATGGTGGGAAGGTGGTTGGGGGTGAGGGACAAGGTGACTTCATGTTGTGTGTTGAACAACCGAAGCGAGACTTCTGGCTCCCTGCTAGATTCCATTGCTCTCAAGGGTTGATTATCGGGTCAGGGAACCAGACGTCTGTGGCTTTAGTTCACCGTGAGTTGTGCATTTATACTGGCCTGTGTGCTGGCTACATCTGAGCATAGCTGGTGCTTACGCTGAAGTTATTTGTGATAAGTAAACATTTAGCTCCTTTTTCTTCACATTTATAACGTTGGGCTGGCATCCTCCGACAGCAGATTCAATTAGCTTGTGGACCACTAATCCTCTGTTTTCACCATCAGGCTCTAGAGTGTTGACATTTGCCACTTGTTTTATTTTCACGTCGGTAGAATTGAAGGAATTAGTTTCTAATTCCATAAAATATCTGTTTACTCTCTGGTGGAAGATGGATGTTTGTGTTTAAGCAGTGACTCATACTCTAGCTCAGTGTAAGACAAATGAAGTGTTCTGTAGCCCGTATTTTCCATTGAGGTCATGGGCATTTACTGCATTTGCTGGATCTTGCCAAGGTCGTGTTCTCTTCTGCATTGCCAAAGTGTCTTTTTACCAAATTAAAGGTGGTTTCAAAATATGCTTCATGGCAGTTGTTTATAAAATCAAAGGGGGAAAATTCTTATTTATTAAAGTAGTTTAAGTAAAGTAGATTACAATTTCCAAGGAGCTGAATGGCTATATAGGGAGAAATACCACTCATTACGATTTAAATAAGGAATAGAAATGAATGTATTTTGTGGTGGCAAATGTTTGGCATAACGAGAATTAGAAAAATACAACTGTGATGGAAAGTATTGACTTTTATATGATAATTTTCCTATAGCTGTTTATTGAGTACCTGTCCTGCTTTTTTTTGTTTTTGTTTTTTGCCACTGCCTTCTTAGGATTACCTAAAAAAAACTTAGCTGCGCTTACTAAGATCTTACACATTTCTATCTTTGAAATGAGGGCTTTTGTAAATACTAAGAAGTCTTTGAGTCCCGTGCATTTGAATTGTGTATCCCAGTGAGGAAATGATCCAGACATTTCAGGGGCAGGGCCATAATCACCAGCAGTGCCTCCTAAAGTTACCATAAGGCTTAAGTGAAGTAAATTGTAATTTTATAGCTACATATCAGGGAACATTTTATATGGTTTATTTGTATTGTTAAAAAGAAGACAATATCTGTATGTTTCAGCCTATTGGGAACCAAATGAGCAGTTAGTTACAGATTCCACTGGCCTTAAACATAATACACAATTAACTGTATACATGATACAGTACACACACAAGAGCCGTCTTTAATTATTGAAATAAATTACTTGTATTCTCTTTGGAAATCATTGGTTTTAGTTGATATTGAAGTCCCACCTTTTTGTGAGTCAGTGTATTTTTCTATTTACAAGCTTGTGTAAAAGTGAAGTGTATCTTCAGTGAACTTTGTGCCAATTGCACTTACAATAAAAAAAAGTGGTTTAATCTGTCAAGTTTGCATATGAACATAACTTCATTTCCTATCATGATAAAGTTTCAAACCAGAGGTCGTAATACTAAAGGAAACCGAATTCAGGGACACAAATTCCATTACGTGCTTGATGAAGGACCAGCCAAGACAGCATATCCTGGACAAGTAATTCAAATATGTTATCGTCAAACATTGATGGAGCGCCTATAGTGCTGTTCTCAAAACAAGGATGGTAAGGGCATGAACTAAGACTGGGACTAACAGGTGAATACAAGAGACCTTGGGAAGGGTGTACTGCTTGATTGGATGATGAGGGGATATGTGGGGAGATGGACTTTCTAACCTTACTTCCGTACTGTCTACCTCATTCACTTCTCGGCAGGGATACTGGCCTCCCTGGAGCAGTCAGGTGTGTTCCTGCTTCAGGAATACTTGCTGTTCCTTCTGTCTGGAATGCTAGTCTTTTGTATATCTGCATGGCTCCCTCTCCCATCCTTTAAGACAGTTCAGGTATCACTTTGTCCAGAAGCGCTTTACTGATTACCTTAGGTAAAGTAGCAGTCACTTCTCCCTCATGGCCCCCAATCAGACTGTCCCCTACTGCTTTGTTATCCTGCTTTGATTTTTGTACATGTCACTTATCACCACTCATTTCTATTTGTATGTTTGTCTCCATCCACTAAGATATAAGCTCCATGAGGACAGGGACTAAGGAAGTTTTCTTCAAAATTGTGTTGCCACTACCCAGAAAAGTCCTGGTACACGATAGATACTGAAATAGTTATTGGTAGACTGAATAAAGGACTTAAGATGCATCAGAAAGAGCTTTCAAAATAGGAGTCACTACTAATGTTCAAAGACAGGAATGGAATTTGAAAATAACTTCAAAAAAAGCTCCCATGTAATAAGTCTGTATTATATCCCTTGTAAAAAGAGAAATTAGAAAATCTGAGAGGTACATTCTGATCTTTTGAAGTTGATGTCAGCATAGCTAACAGTCTATTGAAGCAATGTTCAGTAAGGCATGTTTTGTTTGCCTTTTAGAACTTGGAAATCTCTGTATTGTTTTTCTACTTTTGGCAGTACCGGTGACTATGTAACTGGAAACCTCTCCCAATGTAAAGCACTTAGATAATGCTGGATAAAATATAATGAACTTTTTTTTTAAATGAACTGCTGATCTCTTGAGAAAGTAAAGGAAAGCCAATAAGAAGGAAACTGGCTACTCACCTGTTGAGCCTAAAGCGAAGCACTGAGTGAGCTCGGAGGCTGAGGGAAGAGTCTCGGATGAAGCCTTAAGGTATGGGATTAAGAACACAGATAAGGGATGTGGCCTCTGACACTGAAGGTAAGAGGGTGAAGCTGGGTTATCATGTTGGTGAGACAGGCAGGACATTTCTTGGTCAAGTAGCAGGATAAAACAGAGTGGGGAAGGAACTGTGTAAAGAGCTGGGGAAGACTGATGAGGCACTTCTGTGATTGCTGGGGGGGTTAAGAGGGAGAAGATCAAACAAGTAAAATAATTTTCAGTCTCTTGGTTGAGAAGGTGTTGGGCAAATGTTTATTACTACAATTTCTGGTCTGTGTCTTTGTTATTAACATTGTTCAGGAATTGCATGTCAAATGATTAGCAAAGAAAAATAAAAGTATCAGATAAAAGGAAAACATGTATTTGCAGATTATAGGTATAGAAACTAATTCTAAAGTTAAAAAAGACAACTTTTGAACATAAATTACAAATACTGCTGTTAAAAATCAACAACCCTGTAGAAAACTGTGTAAAAGACAAAAACAGGCAATTCAGAGGAAAGAATAGATTTCAAACATTTGTCAAGATTCCCAATCCCTTCCTAATTAAATAAATGCAAGTTAAAATAATAATGAAAGAAATTTAACTTCAGGTTGGCAAAGATCACCTTTGACAAAGATATGGTGAAATAGGCATCTTATTCGTTGTTACTGTATGTTAATTGGTAATACCTTTTGGAAGGCATTTAGTACTATCTACCAAATTTAAGTGTATATGGGCCCAGCAGTTCTATACATATAAACTCTCTTGAAAAAAAAATGAGGATGTTTATTATGTCAAAAGAAAAGAAAGACATGTCCAGACCAATTAAAATACCTTCCTGCAATGGCATATGTAACTGGGAAAGAATGTTAAGTATTCGTTGATAATAAAATGCGTATTGAATGCTAAATTATGAGCCAGGTACTGGGAATAGAACTGTAAATAAAACGACAAATACCCCTGCTCTCATGGAGCTCACATTCCATGGAGGGGCGGCAGATGACAGCAAGATGCAGAAAAGCGTGAACAGGATGCTCATTAGTGCTATAAAGAAGAGGGAGTGGAGACGCGAACACACACAGGTGAACATGTTTGTGCACAGAAAACCTCTGGTCGGTAATAAGAAGGAGTGACTGCCACTGGAGAGGACAGGAGGCCTGGGGTTGGGGGGGAGGAATCTTAGTTTCCTTTGAGAATGTCAGCTTTTACCACATACGTATATTAATTAGAAAGCGGGGGCGAGGGGTAAACTATACAAGTCTCTAAAAACTATACAAGTCTCTAAAACACTGCCGGCTAAGTCCTCGGAGCGCGAGACAACCGCTTGGGTTGCAAGGCGGACCCGGCTCCCGCCGCGGACCCCAGGCGAGACAGCCTGGACCGCAATCAGGGGCGGGGCTGGGGCCGGCGGCGGGAAAAGGAGTTCCTAGAGACAGCCCGAGTGTGGACAGCCGCTGGGGAAATGCACAAACCAGGAACAAGATACGTAAGACATGAGTAAATGCTGATGTTTTATGACATGCTGGAGACGAACACTAGGCGCTATAAACCGAGTTCCGAGAGGGCAACAGGGCCGACTCTGCACTGCGCCTGCGTCAAACGTCGGTGCTTTGGCCTGCGCGGCCGCGAGAAGGCGCTATTACGTTCGGATGGCCTGCCAGAGGCTCGCGAGAGCCGAGGACGGGTGGAGCACTGAGACAAGAACCACTTCCTGTGACGGGGCTACGTCACTTCCGCCGAAGCTCGGCGTTCGGTCGGCGGGGAGTCACGCGCGTTCAACATGCGGATTGAGAAGTGTTATTTCTGTTCGGGGCCCATCTACCCAGGCCACGGCATGATGTTCGTCCGCAACGACTGCAAGGTGAGGCGGCCGAGAGCAGCGCGGACTGCCTTGCGCTTCCGCGGGCCGCCTTGCGTTTCCGCGGGCCTGAGGCTGCGCCCGCTTGGTGCGGGGTTCCTCTGCGCTTGGGGCGTTTGGCCCGGGATTTCTGCGCTCGAGGGTGGTTTTACTGGGAGTTCCTTCCTCGTCTTCCCGCTTGCGGAGTTTCTCCTTGCTGGCGTCCCCACCGGAGCTGGTCACTAGGCAGCCCTGGGGCGAGGCTGGCAGCAATGAGGTTTAGGAGCGATCCCAGCCAGCGCCAGCGGGGAGGCTGGGGGTCTGTGTGGCCACTCTTGTGCAAGGGCCAATTTCTTCAATTCTGTAAACTTATTGAATGCAGTCAAGCATCATTGCTGAGGTCCGTGTGTATACAGGTGACTAAGTCTTGGGGTCAGTGAGATCGGTAGATATGTTGCATATGACCTAATAGTAGAGTTCCGTATTATGGAGTTCTTGGAGGCGAATAGGGGAGGGTCGTATGTGAAAAGGCACAGAAAGGAGACGACATTTTCCTTAAGAACTTGATAAAGAGGCATTCTAGGTGGAAGGGAAACGAACAGTTTGAACAAAGGCACAGAGTGGAGCAGTTACACCTCTGTTTAAGGATGTGACAGGAATGTAGATAGCTTGGGGTAGAGCTGTAAATACAAATATAAATCTGTATTAAAAAGATACCTCTATAAACTTAAGTTATAACATACAGATACAGACTTAGGATAAACATAGAAATACAACTTCTTTGACTTACATGGGGTTAATTTGGTAAACCCATGGTAAATCGAAATGCAAAAACCTGACCTACTGAATATCATGGTTTAGCCTAACCTTCCTTAAACATGTTCAGAACACTTACATTAACCAACAGTTGGGCAAAATAATCTAAAACAAAGCGTATATTATAATAAAGTGTTGACTAGCTCATGTAATTTATTAAATACTGTACAGAAATTGAAAAACAGAATGATTTTAAGTGTATTGATGATGATCTTGTGGATGACTGACGGGGCTTTGGTCTGCTGCTGCTGCCCAGCATCACGCTAGAGTGGTACCAAGTATTGCTAGCCAGCGAAAGATCAAAATTTCAATTACAGTTTCTGCTGAACGTGTATCACTTTTGCGCCATCGTAAAGTCGAACTATCTTAAGTTGGGGACCCACTGTATAAGGCTTCGTTATGAAAGACTTGACATTGGATTTGCCTTTTTATACCAGAACATATCTCATTCTTCTGTTTAACACCTTGAATTTCTCAGGATTTGATCTCTCTTATATTTGCTTCTGAAGCACGGACACTTGTAGAAAGTACTAATTGCTTGTTTCCACCAGACCTGTTGAGTTGGAATCTTTGAGACGGGAGAGGAAGAGGCTCTAAGAATCTCTAATGAACTGATTTTTTACATGCTAAAGAATTTTACAGTTCCTACTTCATCTCCTTATATGTGTATTCAAGATGGAAGATACTGACCTAACTCGAATTAGGAGTAAGGGTTCTTGCTGAGGGTAAGGGACCAAACTTATGTTTGGGAACTTGAAAGAGCATGTAGAAGATTTTGAATTCCTGCTCTTAGGAACATGACCAAGAATTTAAAGAAATAAATCGAACGATTGCCACATTGGAATCTCATCCATGGTGGGCATGATGGCTTTGTAGATGATCTGGTCGTCATGATTTTATGATTTTTTGTCTATCAGTGTTTGTCAGAGCTGCATATCAGAATTAGGAAGGACAGTGGGAGCTGTCTAGAGTTGGATGTTGATCTGGCAGACACAGAAGAAGTTCAGGTTGATGAGGAAGTCTATACTGCCAGCAAGGACAGTGTTGAATTAGCTGGGATCTAACTTGCTCTAGGGAAGACCAGTGGATCCAGAACAGAGCCGATTGGGGAAATGAGAAGTAGAGGCCCTGAAGCACTAATGAAGAACAAGTACCTCATTTTTCCTTTGTTGATGATTCCCAAATCTTTATCTCCCTAGTTCCCAGTACAATTTTTCCACTTGACGAGGAAATCCTGTTTATGCTTAACAGTGAGCCTACTGAGAGTTCCTTATTGCCTCAGATCTTTTTCCTCTGAATTAATACTGTCATCCATCTAGACAGAAACATGAGGGTCTTTCTTGACTCTTGACTCTTTCACCTCTTGTGTCTAGTTATAAGCTCTATCCATTCTGTCTTTGCAAAGGATAGTGGTGTCTTAGCTTTCTTTCTGCCGTCCTGCACTTGTTACTTTTATAGCCTCCTAACTCTTAAAAGTAGAATTTGTGTGTTAATGCTCCATAGTTTTATAGTTTGCAAACAGAAAAAATATACAAAGTCTGATTATGTGCTTAATAAATGTTTGTTGAATTAGCGGCATAAGACAGCGCTGAAAAACTTTAACCTCAGATGGATCATTTGTTTGCATGTGGAAGACTGAGGATGATGCCAGAGGACTACATTAAAAGGAAAAATAGAGCCTATGAGGCTTTGTCTCACATATAATCTGTATCCACCACCTACCCCACCATAGGTTTAACTACTTCCTTATTGTGTTTCCATCTTGCTTTATACCTCATTATTGTATATAGCTTTTATCCTGTTGTTTATGTCCTAATCTGATCTTGATCTCTCTTGTTTGCAAAATGAGACTTAATCATGTTGCTAGACTAAGCTACTCAAGGTAGGGTATCATGTTTTAGTTATTGTATTTGTAGCACCAAATACAGCATCAAGCACGTAGTAGCTGCTCCTTACTTGTTGATTGAATCCTTTTCCCATTTCAGTGACTCCAGTCTCTTCAGATACTTCATTATGCTTTTCAGATGACGTCTATTAGACATGGAGTTCAAGCAGACTTCCCTGTAGCATCCCGTTGGCTCTCTTTGGAACTGAGGAGACCCAGGACAAATTCAAACTTCTCATTAGATATATCTCAGAAATGGGGATTTGTTTAGGAGTTATCTAGTAGCTATTAAACATAGGAGGCAAAGGTAATAGTTCTTCGGGCTGAAAATACTCAAATTTTTACCAGTAATGATTTTATAGTGAGTTACTCCAGGAGACTACAGTAGTTCTCGTATTTTCTAGTTGCTTTGAAGTTAATTCAAGAATGTAGACATGCTTTACTCAAGTCTCCCAGGAGAGGGCTCTCCAGGAGGTATGGGCCTAGATCACACTGATCTGTCATTGACCATTTCTAAGAAAATAGTGTCCTAGTGTGTTTGGTGAAGGTCCCTATAGAACAGATACATAAAATGGAGTGTTTCGCTTTGTGTTACATATATAAAATACAAGCTTACTTAGCTTGAAATGTTTATACCCTATTTTGACCTTTCCTTTTTTTTTTTTTTTTTTTTTGTAATTGTTTTGTGCAGTGATGAAAAGAACCAAAGGAGATTTTGGAATGATTGTTTGAAACTTTTACCCCCTCAGCGAGGTATACAGAAAGTGAATTTTGAGACTTATTCTAAATTGGGGAGGGATTTAAATAAATGACTTTCCTTAAAATCACTTCCTTCATCCAAGATCATAGTAAGATTGTACTATTATTCTATTAAAATGGTAGTTTTTAACCATATTTTTGGGACTCTCAGCCTTTGGTTGTGATGATGTTTGATAGTCAAAAAATAGTTCAATTTGTGCTTTATGTGATGTGCCTCACACGTTTCTGAATGGTCCTGTGAGTAAGTAGAAGCAGTTGTGAGTGAGAACCACTGTTATTTCTCAGACTTTATAGTGTATTTTGTCTGGAAGGCTAACATCCTATGATATGAACATTTTTAATACTTATTTTTCACTATTTTACCTTACTTTTCTTGTAGGTGTTCAGATTCTGTAAATCCAAGTGTCACAAAAACTTCAAAAAGAAACGCAATCCTCGCAAGGTCAGATGGACTAAAGCATTCCGGAAAGCAGCTGGTAAAGAGCTCACAGTGGTGAGTGCAGTTAGTTGTCAAAGTCGTGTTTACAGTTCTCAAAATTTTAATTTTGGGGGAGAGGACATGTGATTTAGTTAACTATAACCAGGCTTCCTAGAGAGTGATTGGTGAGTGATTTATTTATATTTGGCTGTAGTAATAATCTCATTCGCATGTGATCCCCAAACCATAAATCTGTAGAATTCTGAAAAGGGAAAAAATTCTCAATCTAGTTTGTAGAAGTGATTTTCCTTATTCACAAAAAAGTAGTTTTGGCTCTTGCAACAAGGGGGAGAGTCATTTAAATGGGTTGAGGTGAAGTTGGAAATTGCTACTTAGGGATTTTGAAAGGAGGTTAAGAGATTAAAAGATTTTTGAATAACAGTGAGGGCTCAGATGAGGTTTGTAACAGACTCACTTAATATCAGTTTCTTGATTTCCTTAGGAGGACTTCGGGTCTGAGAGCGGAGAACTTAGTTAGTAATGCTGGTGTAAGGAGGAACAGTGGGAAGTCGGGGGTGAGGGGCTTTCATGAGGTGGGCCCCCATCACCACGTAGCTGTTACTGGATTGGTATGAGGACCTGGTGAAGCTTGTCCGCACTTGACCTGTGTGGAGGGAGGAGGTGGAAACTGCTACACAGGCTGCTTTTGAGGGAGGGAGATTTTAAAACTGTCTTCTTCCTCCATGAGTTCCTTTTCCCCCAAGCTCATGACTCTTTCCCATCTCTACTCCTTAAAGGCAGTTTCTGTGCAGTCGCCATGAAGCCCTTTCCCAGCTTCTTTAACACCAGAGGTTTTTCAGTAAACATAAAGAATATTTTTTTGACAAGATATAAGGCCAAATCATAACTTTTGTCAGAAAAATACTTTTCATTCCAGACGAGTAGATATGTAGCATCTCAAATACAGGTGGCAGCTGTACGAGTGAAGAAAGGATGCCAGGTCATAGTCATTTGCTGGTGACCAGGTACCTTGTTGTAGCTGAGGTTACTCTGATCTCAGCAGAAGCATGTGTATATAAATGAAGTAACTAAGGGCAGGGTGCATGCTGTTCCATATGTCTGAATCTGATAGATTTGAAAACCAAGAAATATCTGTAGTTTTTCCAAAATTATTTTGCATGTTTTAAGATATTAAGATTGTCAAAATATCAACTACATTTGGAGGGGACCTAAAGAATTTCAGGGTGGAGCTCATGTCCTGCAGAGTAGCACCACATTTATTTGAAGATGTGTAGTTTCATGCCTTTATGGCTGTAACCCAAAGGTTTATGGGTAATGAAATACATAAACATGCTAGGTTTTTTGGTTGAACCATATGAAATTCTCCTTGTTTGACTTTCTTTGGTCTCTTTGGAGAACAGCAGTTTCATATGGTTCAGTCTCATACATAGTTTTCTGGCTGTGAGTCTCATCTAGGAATGGGAACTTAGGGAAGCTTTTTAGTTTGTTTATAATCCTCGTGACTGTTACATGCCCCTCTGAGGGATCGGGGCAGTCCTCTCCTCTCCCTTTCCTTCAAGAATCATGTCTAGAGAGATGTTTTTAGTGGGGCTATTTTGCATGTCATGGTGTTTAAAGGAGAAAAAGTATGAAAACTTCTATTGGCTGGGATCACCCTGGGGGAAGTCTTGATATGTGTCCATGCCTTGAAACACTCGGAACTTTTGTGAAATGGAGAAAAAGTCTTAAATGCTTCCTTTCTACCTCTCTTAAAACCATGTTTTTCCCGCTCTTACAGGATAATTCATTTGAATTTGAAAAACGTAGAAATGAACCCGTCAAATACCAACGAGAGCTATGGAATAAAACTAGTAAGTCACAAGGGAATACCAGGAATTTTCAAGAGACACTGGTTTGGGATATTATCATAACTTTAGTATCAGTTGGTTGTTTAAATGTTAAAATTCTTACCTTTTTCATAGGTTAGCTTTTATTCTTTTATCCTCATTGTAATGGTTCTATTATATTTGTGTTTTTTACTATAAGCTACTTCAAATTCTTTTCAGAATTGGCTAATATATCCATTATAAAAATAACATAATTATTAAATTTGGTATTTGAAGTGCCTACACAGAAATATAAAAACATTCAAATATCTGAAAAGTAAGTAGAGATGTAGAGTACTTTTCTGGGTGAGTGTGAAGTACTTTTCTGGGTGTGGTGAGTAGTGAAGATGTAGAGAAAATGTAACACACCTTACAAGTTTAGATAATTTGGTTTAGGGATAGAAATATTGTATTATCCATACCTTATAAAATTTAGTGATTTTGTTAAGTTAAAAAATGCAGCACGTAAGGTGATAATTACAGATTTTCTAGGAGAACTTCTAGGTGCTTGACTTAAGCAACAATGAAGCTGAACAATGAACTGAAATTAAAAGCAATATTTAGTTCTTACCTGCTTAAATATTTGTTATATTTATTTATTTATTTATTTAGGGAGAGGCTTTAATTTAAAAAAATTCCCATATGTAATAAAACTTGGTTCCTTAAGCTAGCTTGTAGATTCCAGTATGTCTCTTTGTTTGAAGCCCTTCGCCCTGCCTTTCTTCTTCCCACATGTCTGCTTATGCAGCCTTTAGCCATTTCTAGTCTTGGGTGTGGAGGTTTGTTAACTAGAAGTGTCTGAGACTTAGAATTCTACCAGCTTTATCTGTCTGTATTGGATCATAGATAGGCAGGGCTTCCTTTTCACCACCTTTTTGCCAGTTAGTCACGAGACTTCAGGGGAGGAAATGGCATGTCGTGGGCGTGTGTAGTAGCATTTGACACCCTCTAAAGCCTTGTTTCTCTTCCTGAACTGCATGGAAAAAATTAGGCTGCCGATTTGGAATTGCTTAAATTCCTATTCCACATTTCTAAATTAGAATAAAGAATGAAGTTATTGTTAATGCTTTTGTTGATGACAATCACCCTGCCTGAATATACATAAATTTAACTTTTATGAATTTTTTTGTAGTTGATGCAATGAAGAGAGTTGAAGAGATCAAACAGAAACGCCAAGCTAAATTTATAATGAACAGGTATGAACATTTAAAAAAAAATCTTTATTTTCATGTAACTTCAGACCTTAAAAAACTGATAAGATGGTATAAAGAACTCTTGTATATTCCATTAGCATTTAGC